CTCCCTGTCCGGGTCTCCGCGCCCGCCGCGGGGGCCATGACGCCGAGTGGCCCGGCTCGGCGATGGGCTGCGGCGGCCGGGGCGCCGGGTTATGAATGGAGCGGGGCGGGCCTCGAGCCGGCATCTGGTGACAGCTGGGAGGAGGCTGGATTCTTACGGGCGGAGGGTGAGGTGGGGGGGTGGTGCGGAGAGCGCGGTCCCCCTCTGCTGGAGGAAAGTTGACCTCACTTGGGGCCCGGCGGCGGGGAAGCCCGGGTGTCAAGTAGCGAGCGGGTAGGCCTTTGGCCCCTTCTGGAAACCTCGGCGCGGCTGCCCCGCCCCTGCGGCTCTCCTGATTGGGCCCGGTGGCTTTCACTTACCCCAGTCACCTCCTGGAGCCTGGAGATTAGTCACCATGGCTTCGTTTTCGGGTCCTCGCCGTGATCGCGGGGCAGAAAGAGGGCGAAGGGTAGGTGGATGCGGCTTATCAAGTACAACGTTCGCTGCCAGCAGTTAGTGATGACGAAGACGGGTTTTAACCGTGTCATTTATCTTGAACGCGTGTCCTTCTGCCTAAGAAACGAAGCGGCCTGGGACACCGTTTCCAGCCTCGGGGTGTTTGAATCTTGTGGTGGATGTGTTAGGTTGTTCCGTGTTCTACTGTGTTTTACTGCTCAGTCTGGGTGGGAGCTGATTAACTCTTTCCCCTTCATGAGTGCTCAGCTAAGGATTATGTGGACTGTGAACTAGCCTGGCAGAAATAGGTCTGACACATGAGAACATGCTTGTACTGGCCATGCCAGTAAGGCCTGAGGCGTTCACGTTAAGTAGGAAAGAATGTTGAAATAAAATTGTAGATAATAATCAACTTATAATCAAATAATTTATTTCTCTCCCAGGGTTTAATATGATTCTTAACAAAGAAATCACAATGGCAAGTCCAACTTAGACCCCAGCTAACATTGTGCGGTACTTGTCTTACTATCCAACCGTTTTACTGATTTCTGTTGCAGCTTTAGTATTTCCATATATTAAATACAGCTCTATACTCTGATTTTTAAAAATTGGCAGTAAAATTTTCATAGTTTGTTTTGTGTAATTTTTTGTTCTTTGAGACAGGGTTCACTTTGTAGACCAGACTGAACTCGAATTTACCTCTCACCTCAGCCTGGTGCTGGGATTACATGTTTAAGTAAGTGTGGCTTCCGTTTGAGTTTTAACAAAGAAGTGATACAGAGGGGTGTACACTGCAGATCCAGGAAGTTTTTTAAGCCACCCTTGGCCACATAATAGCAAAATCCTGTGTCCAAAGAGGGGAGAAAGCTCTATAATCTAAACTATCAAAATCCAGAACATGGCTAACTCTCCACAAAGTTTTCTCCATATCGGTTTCAGTAGAGGCTTTTCTGGTCTTCCATATTGTTGTTGTTTTGTTTTTAAATCAAAGAACTTAAATGGAATCAATCGAAACACATTCTTTTGTGTAAAAGACTTTTAATTAGCATGTTTTTGTATATTAATCAATAGGTTGTTACTATTGAATAGTCATTGTGTAAATTAAAAATAAACCAATTTTTGGAAAAGTTGCAAATATAGTAGTAACATTTGTAAAGATGCCAAGAGAAAAACGACTTTGAGTAGTGTCAAAAAGGACAAGGTAGGCTGACAGCTTTAATCCCAACTCATGAATTCCCGTCATCCTGTACCCCAGTGAGTGGGTGCACGCCTGCCCATCTAGTGCTTGGAAAAGGAGGCAGGAGGATGAGGATTCAGTGTCACCTTTGGGTCCACAAGAGTCCAGGGCCAGCCTAAGGCGACGTGGCCTCAGCTCATTTCTACCTCCCTATTTTACACAAATCATTATAAATGATAGTAATGTGTTTTTCTTTCCTCCTCCTTTTTGGTTTTCCAAGACAGGGTTTCTCTGCGTTAGCCCTGACTATCCTAGAACTCAGGGTTAGGGTTAGGTGGAACTCAGCCTGCCTCTATCCTTTTTTTGAGTGCTGAGATTAAAGACATGAGCCACCACTGCCTGGCTAGTAATTTGTTTTTCAGTCCTGCCTTTCATCCACATTTCACTCACTGTTCTTTATGCCTTCTCCTTCCAGATAAGCAGGTGTATTTACCCTGTATGTAATGTCCATCTTACCCTGGGTTCCACTCTTGGTGTCTTTTATTTTATTTTTTATTTTTAGTTTTTCAAGGCAGGGTTTCTCTGTAGCTTTGGAGCCTGTCCTGGAACTAGCTCTTATAGACCAGGCTGGCCTCGAACTCACAGAGCTCTGTTTGCCTCTGCCTTCCAATTGCTGGGATTAAAGGCATGCACCACCACCGCCCGGCCACTTTTGGTATCTATTAAAATGTCTTTGGAATTGGGGAGTCTTTATTCCCCAGCGGTAGCTCTGTTAGGTGAGAGAGTTTAGATGTCGCAAAGGCTAAGGTTTACTGTCCAGTGTCTCACAGCGTTTGTCTTGGGTTGCCATGAGCCTCAGTATAGCTGTGAGTAAGATAGGAAGACAAACAGTGTCTCATCCAGGGTAACTGTTCATTCCTTAGGGTAGCTAAGAATTACCCGATTCCCAGCATGTTTTAGTTGTTTTAAGATTAGGTGTTTGAAGAATCAGAATGTTTCTGATTTTCGGTGTGTATTGCACCTCTAAATCTTAACACCATCCAGTCAGTTATTGGGGTGACTGTTTCTAAAGCTAGTGTGCAAAGCTTCACATTCACTTACTTCTGGGAACAATAAAATGGATCTAGAGGGAAACTTGCCCAGGACTTTTCAAGTTTTTTGTTTTGTTTTGTTTTGTGTTTGTTTGTTTGTTTGTTTTTTGAGACAGCCTCATGCCTTCCAAGCTAGTTCAGGCTCTTGTTTTTTTTATAATGGGCGACCTTGAACTCCTGGTTCCTGGTCCGTTTGCCTCCACAGCTGCTACCACCATGTCCTGCTCCATTTATAAAGCTTTTTAGTATTGTAGTGGGGATTTGTAGCAAAGGATAATTTGAACTTAACCTAAAAGGTATTCCAGTTAGTTCCAATACTGTGCTAGAACACTACGCATTTAAAGTCATTTAGACAGACCTTGTTGTGTGTAACCTAGGATGACCTTGAACTCAAAGTGTTCATCCTGTTTAGCCTGCTGAGTTTGGGAATCACAATTACACGGTATCATGCACAGCTGGAATGCCACTTTAATAGAACATTGCTAAATAAACTAAAACTTCATCTGTTAATTCATTTAAATTAACCTGTTTGAAGCACAACCTAATTTTTAAAACAC